CAGCTGACACTGGTTTTATTGGTAGTCTTCGCTGCTTAAAAGCTTGGCATCCTTATTTTTTTTTTCTGCTAACAACATGGGCACAGTATTGCAAGGCAAACTTCAGTTCCTCATGTTTTGAATTAAAAACTGGAGGTTTTTTGAAGGATTGGATGCTGAAGGAAGTAGAATCATAGATAATTCAATTGGAAGGGGCCTATAAGCCATTGAGTCCAACCCTCTGCTCATCGCAGGAAGAGAAGCTTGGCATCCTTATTTTTTTTTTCTGCTAACAACATGGGCACAGTATTGCAAGGCAAACTTCAGTTCCTCATGTTTTGAATTAAAAACTGGAGGTTTTTTGAAGGATTGGATGCTGAAGGAAGTAGAATCATAGATAATTCAATTGGAAGGGGCCTATAAGCCATTGAGTCCAACCCCCTGCTCATCGCAGGAAGAGGCTGCATGAAATGTCTATATTATTCCCCAACCCAACCCATATCTAGGTAATGAGGATGTCAAAAGGACTAACCAAAAAGGTATCACAGAGATTTTTTAACATGAGCTGTACTAAAGTACATGCATTCAGGCTTAGCCCTGCTCTTAGGCAGAGTGAGACAAGCAGCAAATTTGAGCCGCGGTGAATGGGCATAAATAATCAGTTATTTTATGTGCTGTATTCTAGTGCCAGTAATGGTGACGTGATGGATTTGCCAAAATAACTGAACCAGCTTTAAATATTAAGCACTAGAGATGTAACAAATATTTGCAAATCATCTCATCTTCAACAAAAGCAGTCTCAACACAAAGATACCAGCTGTAGTGAGAATTTTTTGTTTCTGCATTAAAGAATCATCTTCTTTCATAAACAAAAATCAGTGGATGAAAAATTTGAACCTTGCATAAAAAAATGCTGTCCATGTATTTTTCACAAAAACTTTAATTTCTGTTAAAACTTTAACTTCCCTGATTTTTTTTTGAAGCCACAAAATGTGAAAAATACACAAAAACATTCATAATTTCACATAGCAGGGAGAAAGCATTTGAAATGTTTCATTTTGCCTGTGACTATAAAACAGATTTATAACCCCAACTGCACCCTTGACTAGCCTATGGGGTACCATACCCTGATCCATCACTGACAGCACAGTACATATTCTGAGCTGGAACTTAATCTATTTGCAGTCAGGGCATTAATATCACTTACCATTTAAATCAGGAAATGAACTTCTGCTCAACTGAGCCTATACAGTATACATACACACACCAAATTTAATATAAATATGCTATTTTCCTAAAAGAGAAGTTTTTCTTAGTAAACAGTTAGAGCTTCCCATCTTTTAAAAGTTCTCTTTGTATGTGAAAATAATCTGCTTTTGTCCAAGACACATCTGTCCATCAGAGATTGGTGAAAAATAATACTAAAGTAGAAAGAATACATTGTGGATTGTATTCCAACACAATAGGAGAATCTGTCTGCTTGCGCACATCTTTGAATAACAGTGATACTTGTATAATACAGTACATGTTTATTTTTGGAGAAGCCCAGCACTCTGCATCGTCTTCTGTTTAGGTTCAAAAGCTGGCAATGAGATTTTACCGTTCTTTGAAATTGTGCCCACACAGGTTGAAGGAGAACAGCCCAAGTACCATCTAGTGACCAGTTTGGTTCCTTTTGCCAAGCTGGTCTAAGACTTTACAGGGGCCGGTTCTTGTCCATTATTACCTCATTGCTACATCAGCTAATGCTGATCGGTTTGCCCAGATAAGCTTAATGATGCCCATGGGGAAACTTTACACACATTTTAACAGTTGAAATCCCTACTGAGATATGGAACTCACTAGTTGCCTTTGGCCCACTCAAATCCTCTCAGCTTGGCTTACCTCGTAAGCTGGTTGTGAGGATGAAATGGGGAGGAGGGGAGCAACGCGGCATGCGTTGACTTCATTGGAAGAAAGGACAGATGGAGACTCTAGCAAATAAATGCATGCACATAATTTCCTCACAAGCACAAATGTGTGTACTATCCTCATTCTCAAACTTCTTTGTTCTGTTCTGTGCAATTAAAAAAGCCATTATTTTGAGGCTCACCACCTCATTAATCTTCCTTCAAGTCCAGAATATGAAAGGTTTGGGAACTGATGATGTTCTGAAGTCAGCTATTAACAGCCTGAATTCCAGAAGCAAACCACAAGGAAATAATGGCTTTAAGCTTTTCTTCAAAGTGATTGTCTGATTGCCCTGCCTATGCAAAACTCATTATCATCAACGGAGTTCAGACTAACTGTCCCTGCTTACTATAACTTTTTTTAAAAAAAATTCTTTTTAAAAGGGCAATTTATCAGTCAAGTTAAGCGCCCAAGGGAGCAGACATTTATCTCCTATTTAAGCTGTTCTAAAGAACAAATCTTGCTTATCAGGCTTCATCCACATCACAGACACTTCCGAGGGAAAGGAAGTGTGAGATAAGCGGCTGAGGACAAGCTACACGAACACCATGGGAATGAAGCATCTCAACTTACTACACAGCTCATTTTAAAACCAGTTTTTAATCTACAGCTAGGAATCAAACCACACTGCCAATGGCGGGGAGACCCAGTTAACATTTCAGCAAGCAAAATCCATTAATATTTAACCCCTCCTTTCATTGTGGGTCAGGGTCTCCAGTGGTCTGAAATGACTTGGGATTGTCCAGAGGTGGGCAAAGTTACATTTTTAGACTACCATTTGCAGGCTATCCCAGCCAGCCATGGGAGTGTTTCCCATCTCTTGCTACAGTAATCAGCTGGGAATTCTGAATAGCTGACGAGGCAATTAACAAGTAATCTGAACACAGGGGTAGGAAAAGGGAACAGAGAGATAACTGGAAGTGCAAAGGTTTATTACCTCCCTCTTGACTTTCCTACATAAGCACTTGATGATCTATAGATTGCTACTCTTAGGCTCACTTCCTTTCTCCTTCTCTAAAATTGTTGTTATTGCTCTGTTTTGTCAGGGAGAGGTATCATGTGTCCATGACAGCTACCCGCAGACCTGCACACATGGTAGCCAGTTTTTGGCCTTCTATGTTAGACATTTTTCCAACTTCACTATTCTTGAGGGTGTGGGAGCATATTTTTATCTCCTGATCTGTTTCCAGAGTAGCTACCCTAGTTCAGTACTTACAAGCTCAGCAAGTAGACTGTGTACTCTGCCAGTGTAAATACCAAATAATCTTAACAGTTAGGGAAGTAGCTCTCAGGAAAAACAATGGACAGTGCCAGCTTTTCTTTCTATTCACACCTGTGTGTTGAATCCAGCCAGCATTTGAAATGTGTTATCATCACCCAGTAAGTGCCGTTCTTCTTCAAAGAGCAAAACCAGATGATAGATTAAAAGCAAAATATTGCTGGAACCTGGCAGCTGGGGTGAGCCTGGAAAGACTAGCAAATGGTAGATCTGGGGTATAATTCATCCAGCAAACAACCTCCCTTTAAACATACTGCCGGGTGTGTCTCCTGGAGAGGTGACATCTGCTGTTTCATTATTGCTGCTGCCGCCACTTTTATTTCCTGTTTTACATTTTATATTGTCCTATTATTGTGTCGCTGTTTGGGTTTTATTGTCATATTGTGAGCCACTCTACGAACAGTCACACATGGAAAACAGATCATTTGTTCAGTCTCCAGAGTGCCCAGATCGTGATGACAATTCTCCTGGAGTCAGAAGCCTGAAACATAGAACACCACCAGCCTAGTGCAAGATCTTGTTAACTACAAACCCCCAAGAAACTATAGTTTTGTCTCCTCACTGCAAATGGAGAACAAAGAGTGGATTCCAAAAATATTCAGTGTCTTCTCAATAGGCTGACAAACCCTAATAATTGTTCACCAGATAATACTTGCATTTATAATACTTTAACATACTAAAAATATACAATGCCTAAAAGTATATAACATTCATTACTAGACATTAACAGGAGAATTTTGATCTATGAGACATGTCCTGATGCTGCTATATGCATATTCTTTAAGGAACACTGGCCACTGATTCAATGGGCCCACTCTAGCTGGAACTACCAATTGAAATTCATGTCTTTGACACCTATTCAAGGCCAAATGAATAAATCATCACATGCAGATTAATAGACCTTTGAAGTTCATTTCACTGTTGCCACATCAAAAAAATAAAAATAAAAACCCCCACCAACAATTAAAATGCCCCTTAAGACACTGATCATGTCTTTGACCTTACAATTTATTGGACGTCTAACAAATAGCAATTTTTAAGAAACTAGGATAAGATTTCAAACAACAGACATTTAAAAAGAGCTGCTACCATTCTCCTGAATATATTACTAATCATCAGTTTAATGTCTCTGAACCAGAGATAGATAAACTTTGGACCTCCAGTTAGGGATGAACTTCGTTGTTATCTCAAGTCAGAAGCAACATACACTATAGAGACCCTGATAAGGCTTTCAAAGTAAGTGAGATATTTAAGGAGTGGTTATATCAGTTCCACACATACATCTTATGAGTTTCCATTGCTGAACTCAGGTCTCCTGATCCCAGTCCATCACTCTATCCACTACACCAGTGGCCCCAACCTTTTTGATATTGTGGACCGGTTGGGGGGGGATGGGGTCTGTGCACGGGGGGACACCCCCTACGCTCACATGCATGTGCAAAGGGGCTGCGCTTACTGGCAAGAGCCCTTGCATGCATGCACAAAGGGGTGGGGGTGCTCGAGCACATGTGCAAACGGGCTGTGCAGGTGGGCATGCGGGGGGAGTGCATGCAGGGGGGCAGAAGACCTGGCCACAGACCCGTGCTGGGCCACGGACCGGGGGTTGGGCACTCCTGCACTACACCACATTGGGTCCTTTGAATGACTCCTCTCATTATCCCATATCATTGTCCAGGCCGGCTGAAGCTTATGAAAACTGGAGTCCAGCAACATAAAAAGTATAGAGGCTTCAGCAGCATTTCCAAAACAGACCATATGCTGGCGTTAGCATCATGCATTTGGGCCTTCATACCTTTGCAATGTCTTCCTGAGCCGCTACTAAGTTCAAGTATGATATATTGACCAAGTCAGGGCCATACACAATCGTAAGCATTCGGCTTTCCAGCCGACCTCCTACATTCCCTCCATCCAGATGTTCACGTAACTTTGGATCCTGTAAGTAAAAACATAACAAGAGGTTATTAAGGTCTTCCCATGCCAACTAAAAACAGTTTTCATTTATAGAGAATTGGCAAAGCATTTTCACTAGTGGTAGTTCTATCATATTCTGTGTTTTCAATGCTATCGAACCCCAGCCTATGCTCTCATCCTGCTACCACACGGCTTAAATGCATTCATGTTCTGTAGTAGGACTGCTTCTGTCTTAAGCTGTCTCTAACTTTCTTCATAGAGAGTCTGCCTAGTGGGTGGGTGGTCTCCACCTTACAAGGGGGCACAAACTTCAAGCAGGACAGAGTCAGGCAAATATTCAGAGCTAGCTTTTATTTTGCAACATTGGAGGATCTATTATTTTCCTTCTTCATCCTAAACTGGAATAGCAGCTGCTTCTAGCAGTAAGTCAACTGAGAGCCAAAGCTGAAAACCTGTGGTTTCTTCCTCCTCTATCACAACTCAAACAGGACAGAGACAAAAAGATTTTAAAGATTTGGTCTTTTTTTGCTATTTTGCCTTCCCCATCCTTCTTCTATTCATTTGTTGAATCATACCTGAAGAAGGGATACTAGCCCCAAAGCTTGCACACAATTTTTTGCCTTAAAAAAAGAAGATGATACCACGTTGATACGGAATTCAGACATTAAACTTTGTTTATGGGTCAGCTATACAGTACTGTCCCTGAATTCTATAGTGCTTTTGAGCTTTAGGAAAAACTGAGAAAATTATCATGAATATTACACATTGAATCCCGAGATGAATTAAATTAAGGAAGCTAAAACTGAATAATACAGTACTGTATGTCCTATCCCCATTTCCCCTTCAGCCAATTGCCCCCCTCCAAATGGGTGGGAGTCCTCCCACACTATGTGAGATGCTCTTGCTTGAAGATGGGAGAAAATAACCAAAATACAGGCTAGGATTTGAAGACATTTTCTTCCCTTCAACATCAGCATGGAAGATTAATGATGATGGAGACAGCTTCGTTTGTCCAGATGGACAGATGACCTTTTCTCAGGAGAGAGACAAAAAGAGCACAACCCTATTAATTCTCCTTGATCTCTCTCACTGACATCTGATGTTGTGGCACCTAGAATAATATTAGAACAACTCGGTGGGGCGGGCAAGTAGCCACAGTGTTGTGGTGGTTCTCCTCACACCTGTATCCACAGAACCATATCAGGGACTTCTTGCTTGACTGGACCTACAGATTTCCTCAAAGCCACCAAGTAAAGTCACCAGCTCCAGGTTGACCAAACTACACCCTGGACAACAGTGATATAATCCACCACAGAATGCTTATAAACACACGCTCCTATACGAAACAAATATGGTACAAAAATGCTCTATGTGAAAAAGATACAGGCTCATTGAATACAAATTAATTCATCACAATGTATGCCAAAACAAATTCATTTATATACCTTACATTTGTGTCTTTATTGAAAAAAAATATTTTTATTACCAGATTTTATCCATACAACAATGTGTGTTGATAAGCACTCTTTTGCTGGATTAGAATCAGGTGAGGCTGTGAAGGTGCTGAATGGCCATCTGGACTTAATAAAGGCTAGATGAGAACCAATAAACTGGGACTGAATCTCAAGAAGACTAGGGACTGAGCGGATCAGTCAAGTCCATCACTTCAGCAGGCAACTTTCAATAGAGCTCATTTATCACACATCCCTAAACAAAACATAGAGAAGCACCAAGGATGGGTTTTTAGGACAGGAATTGGGTGTGTGACATATTCTCTGGACTTAATAAAGGCTAGATGAGAACCAATAAACTGGGACTGAATCTCAAGAAGACTAGGGACTGAGCGGATCAGTCAAGTCCATCACTTCAGCAGGCAACTTTCAATAGAGCTCATTTATCACACATCCCTAAACAAAACATAGAGAAGCACCAAGGATGGGCTTTTAGGACAGGAACTGGGTGTGTGACATATTCTAGAGAACTGCAATTCTCCTGAAAAAACAAAGGTGCAACTTGGTGGTGATCACTGGATTCAGTATTGTGTTGTGAATGAGCTCAGCGGCTGGTCACATTTTTTACTGTCTACCACCCCCACACACACACCCTGGTTGATTGAGTGTAACCTCTCCTGCTGTTCCAGCGATCCATGGCCAAAGAATCTCCAGGACAGATTACTGTAATACATTAGAAGCTGACTGAGAAGCTTCACCCAGCACAGAATTCGGCTGTGAGAACTCTGGCAGGTTTGCCTGCATAATGTATTATATCAGCCTGTACTAAACTCAGTGGTTTGATAACATTTTAGTTTCATCCTATACGGATGGAGTGATTATTTTTCCCTCCAGAAATTTGATTCTGGGTTGTTACTTTTGAAGCTAAGCTGGAATCAAACATTAGAAAGCCATCTAAATATTTTATGTATTTACTGGTTACTGGTCATTTTATAATATTTTTGTTCCTATACCGACTTGCTCTTCCATTGAATTATCATTTTCATAATAGTTACTGGATCCACTGATTTGGAAATTAATAATTAAAAAAATCAGCCTCCCCCTTGGCGAGATGATTTGGCTGACATGGAATGCAACTGTCCAGGGGCTTGTGGGGGGCAAGTGATTCGAACACCAGTTCTATACCAGCCATGCTGCTTGCTAACATTTTTCTGGGACAAACTGGCTGCTATCTTTAAAGACATGAATGACTTGGGACTGGGATACTTCAAAGAAAAATATACATTCATAGAAGCCTGCCAGGCCATTAAGACCACCCCAGAGGCCATGCTTTCAAGCCTGCCAGTGAACTTTATCAGGCAGGCAGGCAGAAGAGGCAGAGCCTTTTCAGTGGCTCACTACATCACTGTTGAATACCCTCTCACAGGAGAAGACTCCAGTCCTTTTGTTGTATATTCTTAAACAAGTTTGAATGATCTGGCTGTCCACACCTGCACTGATTTAATTTGAGCTGGCCCAGGTCTTCAGATAAACATCATTATTGTTGTTGCAGTCATCACCACCAACACCACCATCACTTCTGCCTTTACCCTTTTGTGTTAATGTAGTTATAGATGTGGAGTGCTGTTGATTTTGCATTTTAGTTGTCCTTTAATGATGATTGGTATTATGACAATCACTTTGGGAAGACTTCTTTAAAACACTCAGTATTGAGTCAAGGAAAGAAAAAAAAATGACCTGCTTTTCCCTGGCAGACAAGGACTTCGAATGTCACCGAAACCAACCTCTCCCCTAATAATCGAAGGGCAGCACTGAATCTCCACTATTTCTGTGAGCCACAATTCCGAGGGGAAACCAAGAATCTAATCCTGGTTTAGAAAATTGGTTTTCATGACACTGAGCTGCCCTCAAGGGCATCCTGTACAGCCTTCTACAACTCTGTAACCTCCTGATGGTTGGCCAAGTCAGTCTTGTCCTTTATCAGTCATGAAGATGAATCACCAAACTGCCTTGATTCTAGAGAAATGAGGGACTTCATTAAAAGCTCAAGCAATTTTTTATTCATACATGCTGCTGGCCAAGCACCTCTCAAACGCAAGGCAATACCCTTTTCTATTAACCTTGCCAAAGAAGGAGAGTAAGCAACACTCAACCCCTATATATTTCGCAATAAATTTGCAAATTTAAGACAAGGTCTCTGGTTGTTTTATTGTTTAGCCAAGTGTCATGATCCTTGACTTGTCTGTACATCTTTTGACTGTTTTATTTTGTATGTTTCAATCAATAAGTTCAAAAAAAAAAAAGACAAAGAAACCTTTCAACATTAACTTACAGATGCTTTACAATTACCCACATCTACTTTTCTCCCAAACTACAGCTCCCAGAATCCTCAGTCCATATGCCCACTGACCATACTAGGGAATTCTACAAATTGTAGTGCCAAAAAGTAACTTTTACACATTCCACAAAGTCACATCTCCACAACATGCATTTGTCCATAGAGTGGCTTCTTGACAAACAATGCATTGTGAACAACACAGACATTTGAAAAATAATAGGTGAATGGCTGTACGAAAGGTCTAGTGTTCATCACAATATCTTCAGCTGAAAAAAAATGATACATGAAATGATGCCAAGACTGAAGCTAGGTTGCAGAGAATGTGGTGCCAAGACTGCAGAGAATGTGATAAAGCTCTATCTGGAGTGTATAACTTCAAACACAATTTAGAAGGCTGAATGCTTCTCCATACAAATCCAGACATACACAGAGAGGAAGAAGGGTTCTAACTTAGTATTCTCCCAAACATGCTATTTTAAAAACATAGGTGCATTCAGTCACGTGAAAATCCATTTAGCTTCCACATTCAAACTAGACCAAATCAGAAATAAATCTATTATAAAGGACACAATTACACATAGGAGGGGGGCATTTTTTCAGCAATATGAAAAGACATCTACACTCTCCCTACCCCTTTTCAACAAGCATGAAAATGTTTGTCTATTCACTTATTCTACCTGCATTCTTATGTGACCCTGTCTCAAGTGGTATCATGACGTAGTGATATCCAATAGTATAATACTGTCACTCCACTGATCCATAGCCCAGGAAGAAGGTGGAAGGGGTCAAAGTAGTGCTGAAAAGCAGCACTCAAGGAAATAAATGCCACACTCCCCTGGCATAATAAGCCAGGACTGTTCATAATTCTAGCTTATTGAGAACAAGCTGTTGCTGGTACATACACCCAACCATAGCCCTCCAGATGTTTTTGGCTTACAAGTCTTATCAAGCCCTAGTCAGCATAGCAAATGATGAAGATTACTGGTGTTCTGTTCTGGAAACATCTAGAGCAGTGGTTCCCAAACTTGGGTAACCCAGGTGTTTTTGGACTGAAAATCTCAGAAGCCTTCACCATCAGCTGTGCTGGCTGGGGTTTCTGGGAGTTGCAGTCCAAGAAAACCTGGGTTACCTACCGTATTTTTCACTCCATAAGATATACTCCCAAAAAAGTGGGGGCAAAGTGTGTGTGTCTTATGGAGCAAATACTGTAAAAAGGGTGCAATTTAAATTCTA